TCTGTACTGTTATGGCACTAGATAAGAAAAATATTGTATATCTGTACTTACTACAATCATGTTATCAACAAAGTCGTCAATCAGCAACTGACTCTCAATCTTAAGGCTTCTGAATGGAGGTATAAAACCCTTWACAATGAGCTGCTCYTTAAGTTGGTTGTATCTTCGATTCCATCCACGTGCTTGTGCTAGGATGATACGAGCAACATCCTTWGCTGTTCTCAGCTTACATTTGTTCCCTTCTGCRTCAAGTATAGCGACACCTTTGTAGATGTAATCTTGTGAAAATGTGCAGTTCATGGGGTCTTTAATKCCTWGAAAATAAAAGATATTTGGTATCATATTTAGATTTTTGATTGCATGAGCTGCAGAGCTTCATGAATTCAAACATACCATTCAATATGTCCGGCCAATCTCCCTGCTGACTGAGAAGTTCTTCCTTTAGTTTCATTCTTCTTTCATTTCTAAGAAAAAGCTCTTGTGCTGATCGATGTTCAAGGTCGTATACTCCAGTCTCATAGGATAGTTGACCGTGTCTACTGTAGTGGGCGATATCATGGCTGAAATTATCTGTGATTGACTTTGTGAGGTGGTCTGCTTCTTCTTTAGATACATGGGTACATTTTGAAACTTGGACAATCCTACACAGGGAATAGTGATATTTTAGGTGACTTTCAACTTTAACACAACAATCCATCAATTCCATTGACAAAAAAAATCACAGATTTAATAAAACCTGCTCTTTACTTGATTACAATTGCCCTATTTCATTATGACGTCACAGTATGTTTACATCGGAAAACGATGCTCAAAAACAGTGGAAATTTGGACCCATTTATATTGTCGACTAAAGTAGAACTTCAATGAATCGTGTTTTGATATATGTCATGTATAAATGATTGTTCATGTACATTTTATTTGATATGCAGTCACTCTGATCCCTTCTGGCGACCATAATCCTTAGCGTTAAAACAATAGAATGTTTTGATGTGACGTCATAATGAACTAGGGCAATTCACTTCTTCTTTTCCCACTATTTTCTTTTCTTTCTGATTCATTCTCATGCAAAGGGCATCATATAACTGTGATCAAACTTACCGATGGTCRTATTTGGCTCKACATCCCTTACATCTAGAAGCTCTTGCACTAATCTCTGCTAAYARTAACTTATGTCTTGTCTCTTGACGGTCTTTCCATGCTATCAACCACTTGGCAGCATCCTCTGGTAGTTGCTGYGGTGAGTACTGGTAGCTTCCTGGTGTACTTACATAAGGCATACACCTTGCATCCACACCCATRATATCTTCATAGGAACTACTCATGGTCTCCAGAGCTCTGACTACTTCTCTCTCTCGATGAACAAGTGCACATTGCTTCTCAGATTCTCTCTTAGTGCGTTGCTTTTGTCTTTCGTGTAGTCGTTCTTCAAGGGCAGTTTTGTTGCCATACTTTTGCCGTGCAATCTTGATGAGATCAGATACGATGTACTCGTACGAATCATTGTCCAATGCACGAAGRTCTTTCTCTGTTAAACTGAATTGCTCCTGGAARGGAAGTGATRTCAKTTAGCGCCGTAGTTAGGTACAAGGCAAATATAACTTACATTACTAGTATGGAATGAGGAAATCTTTCCTTAGTTCCTTCTTTGCTAAAACAAATACTTCTAGGAACTGTCACCAGCCATTTTRCAATGCATTTGTTTRCACYGTGACATTTTGAACTGAATCAATATTATTTATAATTTCTAAAGCTAAACAAAACCTCAACAAGAATGATTGTTTTCACAATTTCATTGTTAATGTCTTGAACAGAAACAGGTTACAATGAATGTGTTTCACATTTTGAATAAATTTACTTTTAAATGCYAAACAAAAAGGGTCTTCTTTTTCTTGTAACAAGMAATGGTTACTCTGAACCTAGTTGAAAGCTTGTCAAATTAAAAATAATTTTTGTGCAACTTGGTTTCTAATACAATCTTCCTCTAAAATAAAATTATTGGAACTCTTTCCTTTGTGTCATTATTATGCATGTTGACAGATGTAAATATTTATTTAATCTCATTACAAATCCCTGTTACAATGACAGGTTGTGGYGACTTTGATTGACAGCTTTAATGGAATCATTTGTTAAGGTGTTTGAAAGTGTCAAGAAGAGTTTTTTCTATGCAAAAAAACCTCACAGTTTTTGTTCTGAGTCTTTATAAATTGCAAAGAAATGTTATTCAATACATTAATGAATAACAATCTGCTTTACTAAATCATTTTAAAAATTTTAACCTTTGGATATAAAAAAATTTTGAAGATGAATGTATTATGTGATTTCATTTAAAAGTGCTTCCTTTTGTATAAACATTTGTTGACCTGATGTAAAACAGTGTCTAGTCTACTGTAACATTTTCACATTAAAAAAAGACATTAGGGTCAGATTTCAGTTACAAGTAAAATCACTTAGGGATATTATCTAGGTAGTATGTTATGATTAATTTACTCGGCAGTAAAAGATAAGATAATTTAAGTGGAATACCATCAGGAATGTTACTTGATTTGTATTCATATATTATAACAACAACCACAAAAGAGATTCCCTACAAAAGACTAGACATTTGGTCTTTATACAGCCRTTGACCATATACTAGTTTAATCACTGCTAGCAAATAACAGAGGGCAGATTAAAACCATAGCCAACAGATTCAGTGTCCAGAGGGCAGACATTCAGGTACCAATATGTGTTATTAGTCATCTAAGTTTGAAGTGTGGTAGTTTTTATAACCATTAGTAAAGAGTGTTTGCATACATTTCTTTCAAGGTGTTATTTGCTTTGGTGAAGACATCCTTTGTTTRATGGCTTATCAGCCATTATAAAGGAATGGGCTTGTTGTAGCTCACAAAGTCAATAACACATACCATCACAATGATTAATGCTCTGATAAATCACARACAAAAGGACTTAAAACAACACTTTATGAAAGTCAATTTCCTTCTTACTAGCTCACGCTTTTTAAATATTTCAAAAATTCACTATATATATAAACAATTTCGCTACTTTTTGAAGAGTATAAATGTGCGTTACCTTTGCGTGACACTTCCGTCGGTAAAACAGCGGGTGACATGTGTCACACAACGCGATGTCAAAATGTGCATCCACTCTGGACGAGCAGTTTCTRAAGCACACCACACATCTCCATCTTGAGTACAACCAATTTCTCTTTGCMGCCATCTTCCACTTCTCTTCGCTAGTGCACAACTTCAAAGCTTTGTCATAATCRTAGATCGATTCACTTGTCGCTGGGTTCGCGACGCAGAGAATTGTCAATGGGAAATGTAGATTTTGTCTTTTAGAAAGTTCTTTCCATGATGTTTCGGTGTAGGATCTCAGTAGACGACAAGAYGAACCRAAGTTGGATAACGCAGGGGCGTCTAAGAATGASACYACWAGCTTGATCATTTCAGGAGGCAGACCACCAAAGAACGACCCYAGACTCTCAATACCGCTTGCTTGCCTTTGCTTAATGAAGGACCGTGTTGCATAGCGAGTGGATGGTCTAGTTCGAGGTTCTTTACATGAAGATGTACGTCGTTTCTTTGCTCTTGTGGACATGTTGTTCAAGATTGTTAGAGTAGCTTCTGATTGACAGTCAGGAAAAGACTTGTGGCTGGTGACCTAGAAAGACAATAAGGTCAAAAGGCTCATGAGGACGATCTGTACTCCATCAAAAATGAAAACGATAGTTTGATAATTGAACACAACGAACATTATCTTTAAACCCTCCAGGCACTAGATTTCTTACACGCTCCAGGGCTATTCTTTCAATGTTGGGACGATTTCCCCGCCCAGTCCCGTAACCGCTAAATTATTTCACGCCAAAAGCGGTCCATAACGAACAATATGGCCCGGCTTGCCAAATATCCCCCCTTTGTTTCCTCAAGTAGTTTTAGACATGAAACAAAGCGCAATCAAAGTCTCTATATATTCACAAAGATGATGATTAAGCAAGGGATCTGGAGTTTGTTACAGCATATGCCCTTGTACATATTTACCTAGCATGGGTTTATCTAGAGTGAATCAACTGCTTGCTATAATAGGATTTGACACACTACATCACACCTTGATTCACTTGATTGTTTATCCATATGTGTTTATTTTTCTCTTATGGATGAAGGAAAGCCTTACATAAATATAGCATTACAAATGTTGAATAGGCAGGGATTGGTGATTTTTGATTGATCTGTAAGTATTGGGGAGTTTTTTTCATAAGGATGATGATCTACCGTGCCAAGACGGCACACAGGGTTACAGATTTAAATAATAAAGACCAATGAACTTTACAAATAGTAATAGGAGGATAATTAGCAATGGAAATCAGTTGTGTAGAGAATGTTAAACAACTTTAAGACGGAATATTTAATGAGGACTCGTTGAGGCAGCCCGCATTTCTATTTAACTATACTTTCGACTCTTCTTCCTCTGACTTCGCTGATAAATAACCCAGGTTTTCCCGAGCGCGAGAACTATTAAAGATACACTGATAGGACACAATTACTGAACATATACATCGCTTGAAATAGAAATTAAAAATTGATATTAGTTCTTTACATGACATGTGGCATTCTAGAATTAAACATGAACTACAAGATTGTAATCCATCCAATCTTCACACAATAAATTCCTTTAACGAACAGATTTGTTGGGATATTTTCGAGATCGACACTGATAAAAATCAGGGCGACTTACAGGAAATATAGGTGTATTAGAATTGTAAAGTTGGATACACTTCACATTTCGAATTACAATAAGATGGTAGATTCAAGTTATTAAGGAAAAAATGGCGCGGATATTTTCGCAGTTTGCTTCGTCCTGAGGCCGATTTTTCCAGGCAAAACGCCACCTAGTTACTAATACAYACTTTGATTGTGGCTGKGGTAATCTAAAGTTTGTTCGCAAAGCCTGGGGAATGGCAAAAGTCCAAAATACTACCCCAGTTTTGATCCGTGAATATGCATTAGGCCGACCACAAAAGACGAAACTGTTCAGCCATTATATGAATATTCGGTTTGAAATATCAACATGTAATCTCCCAAAGCGCATCAGCACCGCGGAAACATTCGAAATGTTTGTTTCTATGTTAYACACTATCCTCTTCGAAGACGCAACGCCGAGATAGTGAAGCGAGCGCGTTAAGTGTCACGCGATTTCACCGAATCTCGGAGAGAAACTTGTGTCACAGTGCTGTTGACTAGAATATGAAAGCACAGGCGAATGTTGACTATCGTATATCGGAAAATTCTCTGCGCTCTAGCATTCTAGCAAGCAATAAAGTGAAAACTACAAGTCGTCATGCAGGATTTTGAGATAAACCCTTAACCGATGCAACGGGAAATGCGAAAACGGAGACATTTTTAAGGCGAAATTTGCCAGTGATTAACTAACCTTGTATTAAGCACAAATCCCGTGGTTGATGTTAAACGAACTGAGAGACACAGATACACAAAGCAACTAAACAGCTCGACGATCCACTTGTGCTAAATCTCACTTTCATCAACCGCGAATATTTAAATACCCCTCGCGTCTCATGTGTCCCATTATAGAATGACCAATCAAGGCCGAGTATTTTCACTAATCGTCCAATCAACGATAAGAATTAGAATTTTAAATTCCAGTGCTAACATTTTTATTCACGTGCTACAAACAAAAGGGATATAACACAACACAATGGGTTGGACTGTTTGCAACTGGTTTAAATGAGATCAGTTAATCATTCAAGATCTATTACCATATGTAAATTTCATCATGATCTTCACAAATTTACCTCGCGACCGGAAATCAGCACTTCAACGCGATATATTTCTCACCAAATGCTGCCAAATCAAATTATAAAGTGAATTCCTCAAATTCGTGACGCAGGATTTACTTCCTTGGCGGTGCACTGTTTTTCCCCTGTGGATTTTTTTGTCGGAAAAAAGCGATCAACAAACGTGACAACCAATCGAAAGCGAGAATTTCTTCACACGTATTKTACCACCGCTATGGACGTTGGTTATGCTTCTCTATGCTACTCGGTTCTGCAGGAAGTTGTATCGTAATTTTTATTTTATTTTTTTTCGACAAACCATTGTGTAATCTTTTGTTAATGGTGAATAGTTCGCAAGTTACTCACAAATTGGATATAATATTCTCTTGTTTTTGATAACAAAAGTGTTAGATATACTGCAATTGAAAGGAATTGATTTACATAGTTTGACAAGATTTCATTTCCTAAGCCGTGAATCCTAATCCCAATTTCTTTACTTTGGAAAAACAATTGCCTCCTTTTTTAGATATTTTTTGCATCCAAATTGTCATGTACATGTTGTCTTTTATTAATAACGAGGGAAGAAAGCAGTATCCTTCAAATTAACATATTACCTGCAGTAAGATACAAATATTTTAGTGGAATCATTAGCATAATTATATTTTGATTTATATGACATTCTGTTTTGATTTATAAGACACATATCGGAAAAATTAGGAAGCTGTTCTGATAAAGACCTCAAACTTTGTCATGTTTGTTCATTTTTGCCTTAAATAGGTTTTTTTCAATTAAGGGGGCTGTAGGAAATTCATCATTTATTAGTTTGTGGCCAGCACTAAAGTCTTTTGAACTCAGTTCAAGCGTTTCGTTTCTAAACAATATAAAACCGGCCTTTCTTTTAGAAGTGAAGTGGTTTGTTGAATGGGAATGGTGACCACCACAGGTATCCTGAACTTTACTTTAACAGGTTCGTTTACGTGTAATTGTCGTCTTTGCTCCCAAAGGCGAAAAATCGGTCGGTTTGTACGGTCGTTGTTGGTCGTTGTGTAGATGGCCTTATCGTCCAGTTTCCTAAAATGTCTTGATAGAATGATTAAGAAACAAGGTCGTTTAGATGGTCGATTTGTGGATGGTCGTTATCAGGGGTTAATACAATATCGTTGTATCGTTGTGTAGATGTTGTTGGTCGTTGTGTAGATGGGCCTTATCGTCCAGTTTCCCTCAAATGTTTTAATAGAATGAATAAGATTCGAGGTCGTTTAGATGGTCGATTTGTGGATGGTCGTTATCAGGGGTTAATACCACATAAAAAGATATTCCTTATAAAATATTTCCCCTTATCTACTCCAAAAAGCAATGTCAAAAAAAAAACAAGCTAAAAACTGACGAAAAAAAATCGAAATGGACGAATTGTGTGTGGATTTGGTTGGATACCCATATAAAGTATGACGCTTTGATGTTCAAATGAATGTGCAAATATTGATCCAGCAGGACGTAAAAGGATTTTGCTGTTAAGTCATAGATATATGCCTCCAAAGGTTCTTGCATAACTCCTGTGACAGATTCATTTGTTTGTTGTTTTTTTCGTCAAGTTTTCTTACGATTATGGCTGCGTTAGTGACAGCTATGCAATATTAGTTTCTTCATGAAATATTGTCTTGAAAATAGAAGAATTGATTTTCTGGATTATTCGAAGTGTTGCTGGCAACTCTTCTTGTTTTTTGTTGTTGTTGTTTGTTGTTGTTGCTGTCTTTTTTCTCTCTCGTTTTCTATAACGACTTCTTTAAAAATCGGTATACGATTTGGGATCCCTGTGTCAAAGTACCACTTTCGAGTTGCTTTTAGTTGGTTTCCCGTTGTGATCAGCAAACCATCCAAGTGYACAAAATATGTCCAAAAGAGATATTAAAGAGTGGTATAAGTTTGCTTTTAGACTTCTAGTCAACGATCAATGGCATGTCATCGCTGAGAGAGTTCAAAATGGCGATCAAACCTACCGTTGGGTGAAAGAACAGCTTCTTCTTGCATTGCATGGTCTGGAGAAAGATGGTTCCCAGTGGGTAGGTGATGCTGCATTCAAGCTTAGACTACGGCTAAAATCGTTCAAAAACTCCACCATTACCGAGGAAAACTTCAATGATGCCAAATACGGACTGGGTCAACCTGGAGGGAAGTTTGTTTTGCAAGACAGAAACTGTTCTGCTGAAAACAGACTTCGTGGTGCAAGACTGGCGCTTGTCGAGTGTGTTTTGGTGAACTACGACGAGCCGACTAAAGCAGGACATGAAATATGTGTTGTTTTTGAGAAGATTATCGAAATTGAAGCTGTTTATTTTGCTATTTATGAGAAAAAAGATGCAAAATTGGCCTACGAAGTCAAGGTACGTTTGTTGTTGTTTGCATGTTTACCGAAGTGATGACGTCACAAAACGAAACTTTTTTAGTCTTTACAATTCATTCGTGCTAAATTGAATGTTGCAGGCAACATTAACTGAAAATGGATTGAGTGTGTCTGGAGATTTGAAGAAAATAATGATCATTTCGCTTAATTGATTTTTTGTTATTCTGATTTTTATCCAGACACATGCCACAAAATATGATACTCCAATTTGGCTTATAGCGGAGATATATGTAATTTTAGAGGTGTTGTCACCTAACCACTATAGATGGAACTAAGACACTGAAATTTGGTAGACATCCACTTTAAGGATATATTTTAACAAATCTAAACAATTGGAAAAAAAGTATTTTTATGATTAACTGGATATTTATCCACTGTACATTCATTCATATGTTCATCCATCCATTCAAATTTCCATCTATTTGTCATTTTTTTTAATTTACTAATTAGCTTTGACATTTTAAATTCGATGCATTTATTCAATGTACTTATCCTTTACACTCARTCWACTCCTGCCTTACGGACACCCTGCTATTACGGACACCTYGATATTACGGACAGGAAAAACTGAATCCCCAGCAAAAAATACAAAGACATGACTGAAAATAACTCCTGTTACTTTGGACACTAAATTTKGATCCCAAGGGTGTCCATAATATCGAGAGTTGGCTGTACTTTGGAGTTAAATAAGATGTAGTTCATAACTTAGCTATCCATTTGACCATGTAGTTCATTTCCTTTAGGTAATGTATGACCTTGCAAAGGAATACGCCAAGAACAACAAGTTACCTATTGACGATTTGATTGAACTGGAATTTGATCCATCATGTCTTCCATCAGAAACATCTCCAGTATTTAAGCCTCGTGAAACCTGGGTATTTGGTGACTTTGGTCATGGAAATGGCCAACTCTATTATCCTCAGAGAGTACATGTTGACAAAGAAGGGAACTATCTAGTGATGGATGAACAACCTGAAGGTGATTCCCCTCAAAGGATCCAGCTCTTTAGTCCATTAGGGAAATTCATGAAAGTAATTGTACAAAGTGGAGAAGAGAATGGAATTAGAGAAATGAGAGATTTCTGCTTGAATAAAAGTGGGAATCTAGTTGTTGCAGATATTGATTACCAGGGCAACGGTAGAGTCCACGTCTTTGATTATGACGGCAACCAATTGAATTTGATTAACATTGACAAAGACGWACTCCTGGACAACCCTGACGATAAACCACGAGTATTAAACATCTTTATTGATGAAGATGACAACATCATCTGCGCTGATAATGGYTTGACATGTGTGTGGGTCTTCTCCTCTGATGGCAAAGTCAAAGCAAGATTTGGCAAATGGGGGAGACCTGATGGATGTTTTGGAGGTCTGTCAAGGTTAGCTGCAAATGATGGCAAGATCTATGTATATGACTCGCATTTTGGCAATCCAAGGACTCAGGTCTTTGACTATAATGGAACATTCATTGATTCAATTTGGCTTGGTTATGAATACAAGTGGCTTGTATTCCACACAGATGGCCATATCTATGCTGTTGTAGATGACCATATTGACAGACTTGATCTTGAAGGGAACCATGAGGTGGTYGCAGGGGGGAAGGATGAGCCTCTCTTAGAAAGTTTCTTCAATCTCAGTAGCATTGCCTTCTTACCAGATGGAAGGCTTGCAGCAGCAGATGGTGGTTACCATAGGATCAAAGTTTTCAATCTTAAAGGTATGTATCTAGTTTTGTTTGTGTTCTCATTCTTCTAGGCCTGTGTTTTCCCTTGTGTAGTAAAGACCATTGCAGTTGATTCAGATGATGATCTTGAAATTTAACCAGGAAGATAACAGTATAAATGTTTTTTTTTTTAACCTCTTTAATATCCAGTGTCTTCTAGCCATCCATTTTCTATTGTAGTAAATGTCAATACATATTTTGATAATGATTTTTTCCCTTTTTCAGGAGGACTACAAGAATAAAATGCACAAAAACAAATAATAGCACTTATTCAGCAAAAGTATTGGCTGTAGAACATTTTTTATGATTAAGTATTTAATTAGATGTTGCATTAAAAAGACTTAAAATAATAATGATACTTATARATAAAATTGTAAATCATGATAGTACCATTACCATAGCGTTGTTTTTTATTTCTCCTTTTGCTTCCATTACATTATGCACCTAGTAACATTGTTGCTTATCATGAACGTAATAAAATAACGCTAAACACTGTAAGAATACGCTAAACATACTGCAATTAAAGATACAAAACACGGTATAGGATTAGTAGTTTTCTTTATTATTTGCACGAGAACGTCAATAAATGTTCCATCACTCTCTTGAGACTCTCTAAAACGCCCAGTAAG